TAAATCTCCTAACTTACTAACTTCCTGCAGCAGCTCATAAATTGCAGTCCTAACGCTAACTTGTCCAGAAACACACCCAGTAGCATAATTATCTCCCTAAAACTGTCAGACAACAAAAATCTAAAAATTGGCACAAGTGATCCTACAATAACTATGGCAATGCGGAACTGCTAAATAACAGTGGAGATAGCTGTGCTACAGTACTGACGTTATAATGCACAGAAACAATCACTACTAATTCTCATTCACCATCACAAATGAGCCAAAATCTGTAAATTACACTTAAATGTTCCTTCAATTTTTGAAGCAACCACCTAATGTGAATTTGTAGTTATTATTTTACTATCATCTTATAGTAACTAGCTGTGCTGCAGTGCTAATGTTTGCATACAAAAATTCTCAGTAAAATTATGTCTCTGAATGGTTCCCACATGGTAAAAATAGTCAAATTAAGCGTGAATAATTCTTCATATGTGGAAGTAATGTCTTTACACCAGTTCTTAAACCGTATCTTTACTAACCTCCAGTAGCTCCTAGTTATGATTTTAGCCTGAAAGAAAAAAAGCAAAAAAATAGAAGATTGGGTTTGACCTGTTTTCCTAACATCCTCATCTACTACAGAATTACAGCTAACAATGTTCTTGTTAGCATCTCGCCTGTGAAAAGATATTGGCATTCAGTGCTGTTACTGCTGAGTCAAATGGGAAGGGAGGGCAGGAGAGGAGTTCTCCACTTCCTAATGACTGCTCTGCATTATAACACATGCAGCCAAGTGAGCAATGAATCTTGTAAACTCTAGTTTATGGAGTTGAAATTGGTGCCCAGCAGATACCACATATACACACTGAGTGACCAGAAAGCTAGGTGTGTGTGTGTATATATATATATATATATATATAAACAAATCTAAAATATGATCCTTGAAGGCAATCATCGTCATGCACCCCTGGTCCAAACTAACAAATATGCCCCTCCAAAACAAACATCCCTCCTCATTCTCCATGAGTTCACATGTACAAACAAAAATCCCTTGTTTTCCTTTTTTTTTTACCTTACATCACTCGTCTTGTTTTCTTCCATGCAACTGCCCCCTACTCAAGGCTTTCAGTAGCAAAGACGCACTCACAAAGCCTTTTTTTCTTCCACCTCAGACAATGCACCTCCCCACCTATACTCTGCCAGGCATTCCTGAGTCTATCCTAGCTATCGAAAATGTCAAGAATGAGGGGAGAAGCAGAGGAGGGTAGCAATGAGCACTGCGGCAGGTAGAGTCTTGTCCCGCTGCGCACACTTCCCACAGTCTCTGGGGTTAGTAAATGCATGGAATGGATGAGATCTCACTTGACTCCCTTAATTAAAACTCTTCACTTGAACAAGCCTCAGAGCTCATTCTCTTCTGGATGAAGGCATTTGAGTTAATTATCGGGCCAGTTTCATTCCAAAAAACAACAGAATGGAGAAGTTATAAAGGGAACAGAGATGAGAGGTTAGATATGAGGAGCTCCACGGAAAAGTTTTGATCTTTTCACACACTGGCAAGTTTAAACTCAAGAACAGTTTGATCACTTTTTAAATTATTCATATGACAGTAATCCTTCAACTGCAAGACAATATGACCAAATCAGGTTATGCAAACCAAACACTTGTGGAACACTTAAAACAGAAACAGCACATTCTACACAGTTTTCTTTCCTCTCCAGGAGTCTGAGAAGAAAAAGAAGAAAAGAGGAGTGGAAAGACCAAGCAGACCAACAGTAGAAAGTTTTATGTGTGTGCCAAGTGCAACTTAACACTGCAAACAAGTTCCATCCATTGGAACATTGAGCCAGAGATGGAGGTGATTCATGCTCTGCGTCACCTCCCCCCCTCCACTCCCCTCTACCCCACTCCCCTTATGCCGATTGGCAACTTGCATTCAAACTCTGAACTACTGTGAAGCTTGTCCAGCAGCAGAAACCAGTGAGACAGCAGCAGGTTCACTGCTCACCGGTATGGGGTCACTTCCCACTAAAGTCTGGTACTTTCAGTCTGTGCTCAGATTTATTAGTTCCAGCTGCACGGTTTTTCTTATAAGATCCTGACAAATTAATTCTGAACCAAAAAGAGGAGATCACACTGTAACAGTTGCTAATTAACTTATGTCCTGCTAAAAGCAATGTAGTAAATACCCTCCAAAAACACCACAGTCATATGTGTTCGTCATTTAGCCACCAATTTAGGGCTTTCTTTTGATTCCTTGTCCTTTTTATGAAGTGTTTTGCAGTGAAGTTAAAATAAAGAAGCTTGGAAAGAAACTATGCATGAACCTGAAGTTCCTAAAATCCTTTGTGTTTGTTTGTAAAAGTAAAGGAGTTCAGACTTAATAAAACAGCAAGGGTTGAAACCGATGAACCCATGATCCTACAAATTGTTTATCAGTCAACCTTCCTCAAGGCTTCATTGACAGGTTGGCACCACACCACAGAAACAAAGCCTCTAAAATGACTCAGCTGGTCTTGTTTCATGAGGTTTGGGGAAACTTTACCACCATAAGCCTGAGGCTGTGTCATTGTAGCAGCCACATGCAAATGAAATCCTGTCTGTCTTTGGAAAACAGGATGCTTTGGCACATTGTAAGCCAGCACATACGCAATGCTCTGGAGATGTACCCCAACATCTACAGGAAGCTAAAACTTTCCAGGTTGGATGTACCGGTTCCTCACCTTCAACACAGTGTTCCACTTCCTCCAGGTTGCGAAGAGTAATCCTCATCAGGCTAGAGTTTAGCATCAGTTCATTCTTGTGGTCCAGCCCCACTGACTCCGAGGCGAGGTTGAGAAAAAATATGCGGGTGTCGCCTGTGGCCACCTGGTTGTCACAGATGCGAGGATTGCCAAACCCGCCGATCGTCACCTTGTTGCCTCCGTCCAGCAGGATCACCCGGTTGATGCTGGACTTTCCTTTTAAGTAGCGCCACACTCTGACCTTTAGAAATGGAGGGAAGGAAACCGAGAATGGCATTTGTTTTACTCAATATTACAATAGAAAATTTTTAAAAATCTACTACAACCTTTCGCTTAGGTGTTCACACCTCAAGCTAGTGCTTTGCTGGTTTGCCTGTAAGCATCCCACATCTTTACTTAAAAATATTAGTCTTGCAAAGTTATCAAAATCTACCAACATTAAGGACATCTCTTGTCCATTCTACATCTTCAGGGGTGCTTTAATTACAATGGGTTATTACAAAATTAAAATTATCCTTTTGCTTCTTGAAGACATGAGGACTGTTGGTAAGGACTCTCGCAACTACTTCCATCTGAAGAAACAGAAACTTAGAGCATGATCATGCCACCACCATGTTGAACTACAAGTACAGAACTGTTAAGCAGTTGTTCCTCCTGTTCTTGACAAATAACAAATACAGGGGATATTTGTCTAATATAGAAAAAAACAGTGTTGGCACAAATCCCTTAAGCTCCTTCAGATGCAACAAAAATATTATAGCAATTCATGTTAAAATAAAATCGCTTTAAAAAACATAACAGAGGTTTAAACCTGTTAATGTTCCTATTTTCTACTCTGTGACTAGAGTGTATGATGAACGATACAGTCACAAATTCAAATCACTATCACTGGTTCCAATACTCAAATGAGTTGAGAACCAGTGATGGCTATATATCACTGGTTCTGATATACATATATACTATATAAATATATTGGAAGCTTTTTAACCTTTAAAAGCTTTCAAACTAGCTAAAGGAAGTTTTTTTAATATCACACTTGTTTTAACTGGGGTATTTAAACACAAAGCAGCAGGTTTGATATTTGTCATTATCAAACTTTAACCTCAAAAAAAAAAAAGTAGGGCTTTTTCTTGTGTTTCTTCAGTGACAGAATCTCATCCAGATCCAGACTGTCTATCTCAGAAAGCAAATTGATGTTTTATTCTGACTCACAGGAAGATTTTGTGGTACATATTAGCTATATTTTCTCATTTCAGCATTTGGAAGAGGGTTTCTGTTATTGGATAAGCTGCTATGCCTCTAATCTGCCCCATTCACTGGTCGGATGGAAGGGAAACTGGGAAGAAAAAAAGTGAGGAGCGAACGAGCTGACCAAACACAACTTGTTTATTTTTCACAGATTTTAGACTGGCCCACCACGAGTCAGATATGGTGCAAAAGTTAGTTGCACAATGAACAAGCAAAGGAAAGAAGACACAGGATGGGGGGGAGGAAGGCTGTAGATCCTGGCTAAAAGTTTAGATTTTTACAGAGTCAAATAACTTTAAAGCAATTTCTGCTTTTGACGCTGCAGTAGTTGTTTGCTATCACTCCAATATACATAAAATCTCTGTCCTATTTGTCATATCAATATGTGAAATAATGCTGTGGGAAAGTCACAATGATGGAAGACAAATATAAAAGCAATACGAGCTTATTATCATTATTGTAATTAAATCTGAAATGTTGCATGTCTTCTACAAATTGCATGGCCCTCATTTTGCAGAACTTACTCTGACATACGGACCAGAAATAAAGCAGAACCAGCAAAGCTTCAGGTCCTGGTATTGGGTGAATCTCATGCTGATCAGGCAGAACATTATAATGATCTGTTTAGATCATTATAATGATCTAAACATTTTGGCTTTAGTTTTACTGCCAAAACAGCCAAGACCTGGTGAGGTTTGGACTCCATTAAAGTTTCAATGATATGCTGTGATATCTGGAACCAGTAACATAAAGTCCAGTCAAGTTTGGGTTCCTTCAGTCAGATTGGTTGTCTAATAGATGGCTGGATTGGGATCTGGGCTACTTCAAGGAAAAGGCAACACATCAAACTCATTGAGCTCCTCAAACCATTCTGTCTAAGAAGCCAGGTGCATTGTTTGTATGGTCGACAAATACTCTTAGGTGATCCAAGTTTCCCTACAGAACATTGCCCGACCATGACACCGCCTTGGCCGGCTTGCCAACGTCCTGCTGTGATCTGAGCCCAAGGGCTGCAACACACCACTTTAAACATGATGCAGAAGATAACAACAGCATTCATCAGCCCAGACCACTTTCTTCTAACGCTTGTCCAGTTCTGAGGGTCACATGCCCACTAAATGGACCCCAACCCAACAGCATCACACTGTGTGTTGTGACCCTTTTCTACCAGATCCAGAAGGTCAGAATCTTCAGGATTCTGACCTTCAGTAACTCCTCTGTAGGATCTAACCACATGAGGCCAGCCTTCGCTCTCCAAGTGCGTCAGTGAGCCATGAACCTGTTCCCTGTTCACCACTTTTACTAGACACTGACCACTGCAGAACAGGAACGCCCTGCAGGAGCTGCAATTTTGGAGATGCATCACAATTTGGCCGCTGCTTTGTCAAAGTCACTCAGGTTTTTCAAACACATCGACTTTGCTCCATCGGTAAACATAATCATTGCAAAGCAACTTTTCCTCCTGAATGCGAGTCTCTGTGGGAACTTGGAGTGAACTTTCACCACATTCCTTCCCTGAAGGCATTGCTGCTTCTGCTGGAAGTCACGGATATCTGGTCTGTGGTGCGATTTGTCAGCACCACCACAGAGTAAATCAAGACTCAGAATATTATCCCTGCGGCAACAGGAAAGAGACAGGTTTCATATTTCCAGTTATTATGGCGGTAGTGAGAGTTACCACGTCGGGAAGCATGGAGCTTCCTGCTGCAGTGTGTTCTGAATCTGGATGATTGCATGCTCTGTTAGGCCTGCTTCTTAGCTGTGCAAATGCTGAGTGGAAATGTAAAGAAACGTATGTAGTGAATGTATTCCTGAAGGCAAAGTGGATTTTCTGCCAGTGTGCGGGTAGCCGCGGACAAGGTGTTTCTCAGGAAAGCTTCAAATGAGTTGGGACAGAAACTCTGCGGCCTTCATGGGACTTCTGTAAAGTCCAGAAAGCCTCTAAGCAGGTGCCTGAATGCACCACTGCGGATCCCTTCACAAGATAACGTCTTTCCGAACCTCACTATCAGACACTTACCTTGCAGTAATAGGTCTTATGCACAGGGTCCATGTTGAATATTTCGTCCACGGTTCCGGTCAGGACCACGTTGGCTTCCTCCTCCCGGTCCTCCAGGTTTTTCTCCGGACAACTGGCGACGCAGGGCGGCCACAGGGGAGCCAGGACCAGCCCCGCCAGGAGCAGCGCTGCCCGACCGGCCCGGAGTGTCCGCTGCGAAGCCATGACCGCCGCTCGGGTGGACCCGTAGAAAAGTTTACTTTTCTCTGCTTAAATTGAACCCTGAGCCGCCCGGTGTATGCAGACACTAACTCCACAAGTATTTCTTGGGCTGTTTTCTTTTGCTAGATGTTGCACCGAGTCCTCTCCGCTACTTCCCAGCGGTTTGAGCGGCTTCTCTTTCACCTTGCAGCCCTGCTCGTCGCATCTGCAGCCGGGTTCAAAATCCCTCTCTGCCGCCGCCGGCTGGTAGTCCAGGAGGAAGAGAGGAAGAGGAGGGAGAAAGAGGAAGGGCCAGGGATCGATCTCTCTCTCTCTCTCTCTCTCTCTCTCTCTTCAGGAATGTACCCACTCTTCTGCTTTCCGCTCACCCCCCTCACTCCACACACACACATCCACAAGATTTGCATGCAATCTAATTTGCTGATCTCAGAAGAGAGGTGTGTGATGATGGTAAGGGGTTGCACGCCGGGATGCCTGCAGAAGGTGGCTGTCCAACGCCGCCCCCCGTCGGACAGGCAGTGACTTACCCCCGGTCCGATCAGTGACCCCCGCATGTCCGCCACCTCCTGTAGGTGGATGCACTTTTTGTGTTCGGAAATTCTTTGAACTTCCCGAAGCAAACACAGTTTTATTTACCTGAATACACAGATTTGTGCCTGTCAGTCATTTCTTGTGCCCTGGGTGAGACTTCACAGATTACAGGGGCAGCAAGCCAGGAGCCCAAAAATGTTAACAAATTAATGTATGGTACTTTATATGAAACTCATAGGCCAATATCATGCGAGTTGTATTAATCAATATTCAAGTCTTTGAAAATGATGAAGTTGTAGATTATTTCTGTGGGAACATGGAGTTATTGGCTAGAAAACGTATTAAACTTTTCATCAGTTCATACCTACAACTACCTAATTATGTACTGTAATTTGCATTCGTAGAATAGTTTTTCCTCTTACTATTACTTCCAATCATTCTATTCAACGGCACAATAAAACTACTGCCTTGCTCCTACAGCTTTTGATTTTATTGTACCAACCCAAGATTATTGCTGGCCCCACCAGGCCCCCATCCAGCCTCAAACTGACCCCCATCCACCCACCATCTGATACCCATCCGGGGACCCATCTGAAAACCTTTTGGAGACACCCCTAATCTGGAATTATAATCTTTCTACGGTGTGTGATTTACAGTCCATCAGTAAATTATAATTTTAGTCCCTGCCTTAAAGACAGGTGTTCACAAATAAAGCTAAATTAGTAATATATTGAAATGTTATTAATACAACAGGAGTTTTAGTACTACTATGAAAAATTTTCAAACTGCTATGTATTCTGGGCTTGGGGTTGGACCAAAATGCAGACAGGTTTAGTACCAGATAGAAGAACAGATCATGGCATGGACAGAGCAAGTCCAGAACCAGAGAGCGACAGAATCCACTGAGGAAGGAAAGAGAATGATACTGGATACAGGCGGGAAAATCAAGGGGTAGGGAACAGCTAAATAAGGGAACAAAGAGGCGGGATAATAAACACACAGTGTTAGGATCTGTGTAGTTTCTGTCTGTCTAGTCCTGTTTTCCCCTGAGTCTGTCTTGATTGATCCCAGCTGTGTGTCGTTCCTGTGATTACCCTCCCAGTGTATTTAGTCCCACCTGTTGTCAGTGTTCTTTGTCGGATCGTCGTCGTGTCTCACGTCTGTTCCTGTGCTGCCAGTATTTTCTGTTGTTCCTCCTGGGTTATCATTAAATTATCTCTTATCATGACTACCTGGGATTCCCGGCGTCTCTCTCACCGCTCTCCTCAACCACACATCATGACACACAGAAGGTGAACAGATCAATACTAATCATTACAAAAGAGGATAACTGAAGGATAACTGAAGAAACTAGAGGGATGAACATATAAGGAAATATCTTTAAAGCAATACTAATGAACTAAGTATGGCAAGATATGTGTAGCAATAATTAATGTGCACAAACGGAAAACATTTTGAAATGCTCTTAATGGTAAAAAAAAAAAAAAGTTTGATGCAAACTAAATGTTCAAAACAGATGAACAGCTTTTTAGCAGAGTTGATAGAGAAGTGATCATGTTCATTAGCATCCTAAGACTTGGAGATCACAGTTTGACAAAACAAGTGACACAAACTGTTGGGTTTTACTTTAAGTTCTTTAAGATCTGTAAATAATAAGATGGCATACTGTAAAGATCATCAAATATCCAAATCAGACATGTGTCACCAGTGTTGTGGTACTCGAAGTTGGTCTTGGTCTTAAGACCGGTCTTAAGACCA